TTGAATGGAAACATACAGATTTTCCTAAAGTTTACCTCCTGTTTGTGAAAATGACTAAAAGAAGCTATAAAGAATGTCCAAACTCACCCCGGAAAGAACATGAAGACACACATGAACTGCAAATACATCTCCAGCAGGTTTCTTCTATACCACCTTATCCTAAGCCAGTTCATGATGATTGGCTGCCATTTCAGAAATTAAGCAAAAACCAAAATATGCTAACAAATTCAGAGACAGGGAAAACGATTGTAACACATATTAATATACTTACCGGCATGACCAGGAAGTACCAAAAAGCAATAATTCCCAGCTGAATTATCACAGTGATCAGATCTGGCTCATTGTTTACCCCTGTAACAGCTAATGCCGGCTGCTCAAACTGGTACAGAAAAACCCTTCATCATCATTTACATGACCCATACATTAGAACAGAGAAAAAAAATTAATATCTCACCGTGGAAAGAAGGGCAACAATTGGAATAGCCAAGCTTGTCTTCTTTGCATCAGGATAATCATTTGGATCTCGTTTGATGTTTGTAACATTGGGTTTCTGAAAGACTCAGAAAGCGTGAGAAAATTTCACAAGTTAAAGCAAAAATGCTACAAAATGGAAGGAAGTTTTTAATTACCTTGCGAAGCCTGGGATTGTTGGTTGATTTGTGTTGAGGTGTAATATTGAAGAAAGGGAATGTCTTGCTTCGAGAAGGGGAGAAATAAATGGAAGGGATTTGGAAGCTGAAAGAGCTCATCTTTGAGCACTGTAACTCCTTTTTCTTATCGGGTTTGAGTTAGAGTTTCATGGCACAGAATGCGTGGATTTTCCCGGCGAAAAGAAAATGGAAAACCTGAATTCTCAAATATTTTGGTGGCTGCCACGTATTATGTGAAGACCACCCACATAATCCATATCCTTTACCAGCTTTATTTTGAATTTTTTTTATTAAGTTAAAGATTATTATAAAGTAATATATGTTTTAAATATTTTTAAATATTTTTATTTTAAATTTAAATATATATGTATTTATATTATTTTAAAATTCAATTAATATATTTATTTTTTATAAAATTGAGTCAACATATTAGAATGAAATATAAATCATCTCTTGAATATATATATAAATCTCTTCAAGAGTTGTGACATTCTTAAACCTCAATCGTTTTTTGTCCTTGAACGATGTAGTACATGAATATTAGAATGTCACAATAAACATATTTACCTTTGCATTGCTAGACTAATTAGGAAAAAAATTATATTTCAGTTGTTCACAATCTTTTAAACACAAAATTTTGTTCAAGTTCGTAGACTAATCAATATAGTTGTGAAAAAAGTATTACTTTTAAAACGAAATTGGGTAAGCTACAAAAATTGTCAAATTCGTTTGAGCTGAATTCAAAAAACATAAGATTTGATTACTTTCATTTCGTTTTTGTTAAGATGTTATCATTGAAGGTTAACTATCATTAAACTTTTAACTATTTGCTGACATGAAATTGTAAATATATAAAATTAAAATTGCATCATTTCCACATGATAATATGTGGATTAAGTTTTGGTAACTTATATTATCGTTTTATTAAGTTTTTGTCACTTATGTTATCGTTTCATTAAGTTTTTGTGACTTGGACATTAGATGTCATTAGTTTGATGACGTGACCCGTTAGTAATATTATTTAATTTTTATCTAACCCCTAAACTTTAGACAAAATACTAATTATGGATATTTTGTACATTCAAATTAATTTATGAACAACATTTCAATTTACCTATTTTTTTTTATATTTTTTCTTTCCAACCTCCAATATTATTCATCTTCTTCTTCAAACACCTCTGATCCATTGTAATAGCCTTCTTGTTTTTGACTACTAATTCTAATTATTTGAAGTAAAATTAGGTGGGTTCTCAATTGTAAGAAAATGAATAAAAAGAATAAATGAAGATTGTGAAAAATGCAAAGAATTCATCATTAAAACTCTAAAAAGATTCACCATCATGGTTATGCCACCACCTCGAGCCAAGAATAATAGAGCTTCTTCAATGGCGATGTTATTGATGACATAGTATCATGTTTCCATCTCCAATGCGTTGTTGACCAACGAAATCCTCGTGATGTGAAAGATCGTCGAGAACTTTTCGCACATTCGAACGTAATCGACCTCCATGAAATTTACGAAGATCAAACCGACATTCAATTAGTACTGGAACTCTACTCCGACGGTGAGTTGTTCAATCAAGTCATCTAAAAAATGAGGTACTCGAAGGCCTGCACAACGGCGTTGGTGCGACAATTTGCTCAAGCCACAGGGATTAACGATGATTCATAAGGATATAAAATCAAAAAATTGCTTGTTTTTTTAGAGAAAAAACAAATATTCAACCTTGAAGATCATGAATTTTCAGTGGATAATTCATGGATCCTATTATCGGGTTGTTTGGATATGTTGATTATTGTTAACCGGAGGCACTTTCTCAAGAAAAAATCACCACATATAGTAATATCCGATTATCGAGTTATTTGTATCAATTGATTTATCTTCTTATTTCTTGTTGGATTTGGCATTCTGCAATCTCAATCTTTAGAAATTGAATTTTAGTTTGTATAACTGAAATTACCTAACTTCATTTTATCTCTAAATGCATACTCTTGTATTTTTCTCTAAACTTGTGGTGTTATTATTTGTTATCGGAAGTTAGAAATCTTTCATTATTCTTGAAATGCAACACAAGTCCTTTAAAGAAGACAAATGTAGAAATGGAGCAATGAAACATATACGTCTAAAGAAGAAGCAAGGAGAAGATGATCAATAATAGGATTAGGAACAAAACCTATTAAAAATGGATAAATAGAAATGTTATCTCTAAATTAATTTGAATTTACAAAAATAATCATAATCAATATTTTAACTAAAGTGTAGCAGTTAATATAAAAATTAAACCATTTGACTAACGAGTCACGTCATCAAATCAATGACGTTCAACGTCCAAGTGATCTAAATTTAATAAAACGACAATATAAGTGGCCAAAGCTTAATAAAACGATAATGTAAATGACCAAAACTTATATTTTTTAAATTTAATGCGCAAAAGTGTATAAATATATAAAGGAAAGTGACCAAAACTTAACTCACTTATTATCTATGTGGAAATGATGTAATTTTAATTTTATATATTTATCATGCTTTGTCAGCAAACTGTTAAAGGTTTTAACGACCATTAACCTTCAATGGCCACATTTTAATTAAAAAGAATTGAAAGTGACCAAATCTTATGTTTTTTGAATTCAATGAGGAAAATTTTATTAAACTCATAAGAAAGTGATTATTTCTGTAGTTTACCCAAATATTCTTAAATACCACGTGTGCGCATCACATTATGACAAGTATCTTTTAATTTACTTAATTTATCTTTAATCCAAACTCGATGTTTTTTTCATCTTCATAACATTGGTCTTAAAGATGCTCAATTATTTTTCTTTTTCATTTTTTCTTTTTCTATAAGGTTCAATTTATCACAATATATTTTTACTCGATAGTTACAACATTGCAAGCATAAAACTACTATAGGCTTGGTAATTTAAATTGAAATGGACCCCATTTTTTAAAACAAATTTTGGATACAATTTGAGTTTGGTTGAATTTTCTAAGGAGTGAGGTCGGATCGAATTTGTGTGCAGTGTGAAAAAATTTCGATTCGATCTAACCTGAGGATAGTAATATAATTAAAAAAATTTAATTTTTAATTAACTCTTTATTTTTTACTGGATCGATGCAGGTTAAGTAGGACTGAATTTATACTCTAAAAATTTAAATCTAATCAAAATTAGATGAATGATAAATATTTTTTGAATCGAATGAAATATATATAATATTCGGATCATATTAATTTCAGATATAAAATATATATTTTCAAATAGATTCATGTTTACCAAAAATCCGTTGCCATCCCTGAATCAGTGCGTGACTCAAGAATGTCATAATTTAATTTACTCACGAAATTAAAGCTTTTAGTTTAGAAGATGACCGCAACAAACAACTACCCTTTTATAGTGCGACATTCTTAATATACAACTAAAAAAGATGTTATCAGTTTTATTATTATTTAAATAATAAAATCGATAAAAATTATTTAAAATATTATCATTTTTATCTAAAACATCAATGTTTTTTAATATTTTCGATAAAGTGTCAAACAATAATAAAATTGGTAGACAAATAACAAAACCGGTAACGCTTTAACAAAGCCGGTAAAACGCCCAATAATGTTTTAAATACTCTCAATCATTTGATAATAAACGTTCAATTACCTTACCGTAGTCGCTGATGCACGAACCCGTGACCTATAGGAAAAACAATGATTCATTTAACCACTGAGGTAAGTTGGTTCGTGCAAAAATCACGATTTTTTAAATAATTGAGTATTATATGGTTTGATATTTTTGAGATAAAAAACGATATAGTAAAACTAATTATTTATGATAATATAAAGGGAAACTATGATAAATTATAGTAATGAGTTCCAAATGTAAGCCAAGCAAGTCCTTTATGATAATGTAATGCCAACATCCTCCCAACGCAACCAATTGATATGAAAATTAAAAGATTTGAAATTTTGTACAATTATCTACTTTATTTAAACATATAATAAAATATTGAAGGCAAAGATTGTTAAATTTAAATCACATTAAATGGTTTTAATAATTAAAAAAAGGTTTTTTTATTTAGAGGTCTTAAGTCGAATAATTATACTTGCAGAATATATTTACGTTATCGAATAATTAAAAAAATTCTAAATAAATGTTATCATATAACCACTATAAACTATTTAAATACTATAACCCGACTAATTGTTTGGAGTCAAATATCAAATATTATGGTAAAAAAAAGTCAAACTTCCAGAACAACTTGAACCATTCTCCTACAAATTATTAATAAAAATAAAAGCTTTCAGTAAAATATATTAAAATATTACAAAGCTGTTGATGGATTAGCATTAATTAAATAAAAGCTGGGGCCGCCTATTGCCAAGCAGCCTCCAATCTCACGCCAGAAAGATCCCTTCGCCTCAAATTGAAAAATTAACAGACAAGCGTCAATCAACAACTGAGCCACAGCCCACCCTTTTGATTACGTCTCTCTCTCTCCTTGTTGTTCGTTGAAAGGAAAATAAACCCAAGTCCGAAGCAACACGTAATCGTTAATACAGTGGTAGAGATCGATCTCAGTGGTTGAGGAAAATGGCGACTCTTCAAACATGGAGAAAAGCTTATGGCGCTCTTAAAGATTCCACCAAAGTGGGTCTCGCTCATGTTAACAGCGATTACGCGGTATTTTCAATCTCTCTCTTTTTCTATATTTAGTTTGTATTTAAAAAAAAGAGGGACTTTATTTGGTTATTACTGGAATGTTTATTATTAGGATTTGGATGTGGCCGTTGTCAAAGCTACTAACCATGTCGAGTGTCCTCCAAAAGAAAGGCATCTCAGAAGTTAGTTTCCTTTGTCGTTTTTATTTTTTAGTCTGAATTTTGCATATCGATTTAATTTCCTCGGGTTTTCGGTTTCTGGATTGTGTATAATATGAGATGATTGGAATTGATTTTTGTTTTCTTTGTAGAAATCTTCGTTGCTACGTCAGCGGTTCGGCCTCGAGGAGATGTTGCTTATTGTATTCATGTGCTTGGCCGCAGATTGGCCAAGACTCATAACTGGACGGTATTATTCTCTGACTTCTATTATTTTTATAATTGTACTATTTTGATTTCAAATTACTGCTTAATTGTATGGTGATGCTTTCGCTTTAAGATGAAGTGGGGATTTTTAACTTATAAGCTTCCAACACGTGTGTATTTAGACTTAATTTAGTATTATTCTTATCACTTTGTGGCTTGTGCATATGCTAAATTTTCAACACGCATATATTAATGTCAGCATGAAATTAATGCACTGCCATGCATCATTTTGAATGTTTTGCTGTAGTATTTGTACAAGTGTGCAATCCTCAAAATTTATTGCTATTTTACAAAGTAGTGGACAATGGACCATGTTTCTTCTTGTTGAGCGTTGTTAATCTACAAACGTATGCGTTGTTGTTTTCTTCTCTGGAATAGTTTCTTTATGCAACTATGGTTTCTAGACGTAATGAAATTCTGTGAACTACAAAACAATGGGAGGACATTGATGTTGCTACACTGGAAAGTTGTTAGACTGATTAGAATTCATGTTTATGGTTCTTACATTTCTCAAGTCTTTCTGTGCTTCATACCTAACCCATTATGAATAGAGAAAATAAGTTGAATTAATGGTTTACAATTTGCCAATGTCAAGCTCCTGTTCTGATATGGATTAATGAACTTATGTCGTAATTTTTTTTTTCTTATTCAATAGGTTGCATTGAAAACACTCGTAGTTATCCATAGAGCATTGAGGGAGGGCAATCCTACTTTCAGAGAAGAACTTTTAAACTTCTCACAGAGAGCACGTATTCTCCAACTTTCTAATTTCAAGGATGATTCTAGTCCTCTTGGTGAGATTTTCGTCTCTCTCTCTCTCTCTCTATATATATATATATATATATATATGTTTGTGTATCGGTGCATGTGTTTGTGTGCTTCTCCATGTGTATTCTGGTCACCAGTAATAATTTCCGGTTGATTTGCTTACTTTCTCCTCCTTTTTTTGTATATATGGCTTCAGCATGGGATTGCTCTGCCTGGGTACGCACATATGCATTGTATTTGGAAGAAAGGCTTGAATGCTTTAGGATTCTGAAGTATGACATTGAAGCTGAGCGTCTTCCGAGACCTGCTGAGGGGCAGGATAAGGTATCATCACTTTTGGAGTATTTGTTCCATTGATTTACAGGATTTTTTTAACCTTTTGGGGTTCATGGCCTTGCTGTAACTTCTCTTCTTTTTAATGAGCAGGGTTACAGCAGAACCAGGGAGTTGGACAACGAAGAATTGTTGACACAATTGCCTGTTCTGCAACAATTGCTTTACCGTCTTTTTGGTTGCCGGGTATTTTATTATTTTGTTTCCTCAACATGTTGAGATGATGTTATATATTCGTATTTTTCACCAAAGTTAATAGACTTCTCTGCCCTCCTGCAGCCGGAAGGTGCTGCTATAGGCAACTATGTTATACAATATGCATTGGCTTTGGTATGTTCGCTCTTTCTTTTTTTTGGTTATGTATTTGTGCCATCTTATCTGTACCTGAAATCTTATTTCAAAATTTTCACTAGTATTGTTTGGATATTTTCATCAGGATAAATGATTAATTTGAGTGTCAATAAGAGTTGAACCAAAAGCTATGAATGCATTTCTTTTCAAATATGTCAACTGAAGTGATGATTTTGTTATTAATGGGGCTGTTAGGCACCATAAGTATAATCCTTACCTAGTCTAACATTCTTTGTTTTGAGTTTTCTACTGGCATTCCTGAATTTTCCTTTTGTTAAATTCGAAGGTGTTTTGTCCCCCTCCCCCCCACCCCCAACCTTTGAAAAGTGTTAGAAGTTAAAATATTTAATTAAAGTTCCTTTTCTTTTTTCCCCTTCGTGAGCAGTGTATTATTTTATACAAAGTTCATAGAATTATTCCCTCCTGACAGTTATAGAGTTAATTTGAAACCCAATCTTGTATCTGCATCTCTTTTCTCTACACTATCAAACATATAAATGAGTTTTTATTTTGTTAAGAAATTGTGGAATTTTTTTGTTTTACTTCCTCATAAGAATCTCTTTATGAGATTCTGACCATGGAAGCACTTCACGTTGAAACTATTTTGACCTCGCAATATTGCAATTTTTAGGTACTGAAGGAGAGTTTCAAAATTTATTGTGCTATTAATGATGGAATTATTAATCTTGTGGACAAGGTAAAATAGTTTTTTATTGTTTATAGAAGAATTTCCTATTTTGAGACAGATGCTTTTCTCTTTTCTTTTTCAAAATGGCTGCTCAAGTTGTGAGTTTGCAGTTCTTTGAGATGCCAAGACATGAGGCTGTCAAAGCTCTTGATGTGTACAAGCGAGCTGGTCAGCAGGTGAAGATGCGATTTCTTTTTAATGACATCAAATTTTTATATGATTTGTTGCTTTTTTATGATTATTGTATTATATCACTTGGTTGGTAATCGTGGCTGGTTTGCTATCTCAGTGTAGTGGCTTACTGAAATATATTTAATGTTTATGATGCAGGCTAATAGCCTTTCTGATTTCTATGAAGTTTGCAAAAGTTTGGAACTTGCTAGAAACTTCCAGTTTCCTGTTCTCAGGGAGGTATGGATTCTATGGAGGTGCTATGTTGTTTGAATTGGCTTGTTCGTAAATCGTTTGTTTGATACTTTATATATTAATTCATCACTAACCTTGTTCCAGCCACCACAATCTTTTCTCACTACCATGGAAGAGTATATTGGAGAGGCACCACGTGTGGTTTCTGTTCCCACAGAACCGTTGGTTAGTATTCTTCTCACTATATTCCACGCTATAAATCTATATGGTTGTATGAAGACAGAAAGGATTGTGAATTACGGTTATATTTTTCCCCATATTTTAGAGCTATTTGAGAAGCTACAAAATCTTGAATGCATAACTTTGCAACAGACTCCAAGACTAGAGACACATACAATTTTATGTTAACTACCACAACTGTGGGAAAGATGACATTGAGTTCATTATTAATGATGGAATGAAATATTTTGCCTCAGTTCTCTGTGTTTAACTTACAATTCCTGAATAGTTTTTTCGTCTAAAAAAAAACTGAAAAATGCTATAAAACTAATGGTGTTTTTGGTTACAGCTATTAACCTACAGACCTGAGGAAGCCCCTTCTGAAGATACTAAATTATCAAATGATGAACCTGAGCCATTTGCTCCTGCTGCTGCTGATGCAGTTCCCAGTGTTGAGATTGCTGCTGCTGATCCTCCCCCAACTCAGACCAACATGGACACTGGAGATTTATTGGTAATGTTTCCTTGGGAGCTTCATAATGTTATCCTATTTGTCTACTTCAATTTTTTTTTTATTGCAATTGGTGGTTTCAGGGGTTAAATTATTCAGCGCCCGATGCCTCAGCAATTGAGGAAAGTAATGCTTTAGCTCTAGCCATAGTACCAAATGAATCTGGTAAATACATGTTTCATTATGCTCCCTTGTTTGATGGTGGTTTCTAAACTCTTTGCTGTTTCCATGATTAGATAAAGTGCAAATGTTTTATTTTGCAGGTACTGCTTCGACAGTTACGTTTAATGCTGGCCAGCCAGTAGAATTTGATCCAACTGGATGGGAACTTGCTCTTGTCAGCACACCAAGTACCGATATTTCTGCACCTACTGATAGGCAGTTGGTATGCTCTTTCTGTGCTTTAACATTTTAGTCCATTCTTATGTATTTTTTTTATAGAAATATGACACACTACTGGCAAAGGTTCTTAGTTTACATGCCAGTAAATACATTGAGGGCACTCTGAAACCCTAGCAAGCTAATCTGATTAATTTTGTGGCCGATAATTTTCAGGGTGGCGGATTAGACTCACTCATCCTCAACAGTTTATATGATGCTGCAGCATATAGAGCTCAGCAGCCTGCATATGGACCTCATGCTCCAAATCCATTTGATGTACAAGACCCGTTTGCCATGTCAAATAACATTGCTCCCCCTCCAGGAGTGCAAATGGCAGCAATGGCTCAACAACAGAACAATCCTTTCGGTGCTTACCAGCCTACTTATCAGCAGCTGCAACCTCCGTCGAATCCATTTGGTGATACGGGGTTCGGGGTGTTCCCGGTGAACCAAATGGCTGATGTTGGTCGGCCACATGCCAATAATCCATTTGGAAGCACTGGCCTATTGTAATGTTGAATCTGGAGTAGCTCAGTTTGCATATTTTGGTTGGAACGATCTTTTCGTGACGATGAAAAGAGCGTAGGTTGTGTTTTACCCACGGGATGAATGGCTTTCAGCAGCTATCTTATTACTTTGATAATTCCACAATTGGTTTTGAACATTTCCCAACTATGCTTTTACATTTCAATCAATTTAGAGTAAAATTGTTTCCTGATTATGTCTCTTTAGATACGAAAAATTACGAAATGGTTCAATTTTAAAAAAGTATCAAATAGATCTGTTGTTGTTAGTAATACATACAACATTCGAATTTAAACATATATGAATGTTGAGTAACTATGTCTACATAGCGTATATATTAATAGACTAAGAAAGTTTTGAATAGATTCGTGGGTATATTGCATTGTTTTTTGTGTGGGAGAGTGTAAAGGATTGAAAGATTTTTGCAAAGGCTAAAGGGGACTGAAAGCAGAAAAGCAAAAGAGAGGAGGGAGGCCCCCATCCCACCCACCTCTTCCAAGCGGGCTCAAATCACCATCATTGCCCTCACTCTCTTGTTTCATTTATAAAACAAGCTTAAATCTGAAAAATAAAAGAGGTAAGTGGGTAGATTTTATTATACCAATCTTTTACTTGTACTTGTCCTACTCATTGGTGGCCTATGAACAGCTGTTTTTCGTTAATTAAGTGCTTTTGTAATGCTCTTAATCATAGCATCCGATGTATTGCATCAGTACTCCTATATTCTCAATCCCAACTTCTTTTTCTTTTAACAAATATTATTATCTTACGGGCCTCCTAAAAGTGGTGATGAACCCACAAAGATGCCTTTCAATATCAAGAGGAACAAACCTAATCGATCTTCTCTTATATTCTCAATCTTATGATTGACATTTTCTTATTAAATATTTGATGTATTGATGATGTATAATTATCGTAGATTAGATGAAATAAATTTGAATTTTATTTTAAAATTTTATATTGATTCATCATCGTGTGATTTTATTAACGATGCATACATTTACATATTTATCGATACATCAAATGTTAATCCATCTTCTTTACGTTTCTAATAATTCTTTAAATCATTGTTTTATGTTTAGATTATAATTTCCTAATTTATTACTATAAACTCTAAGATATATTATGTTTGATCAATAATATCTAGAGTAGATAGTTAAAAGCTCTCAATTGACACATTCTCTTTTTCTCATATTGTTGGCTCACAATTCCTTCTCCCGTAAAAATTGTTAAAATATATACACACACTATATTGAACATTTAAATCTAAGGTTAATATTTTCTTCCCATGGTTTTAATGAATTGGATCTATTTCAAATTATTTTTGATTAAATCCTTTTTTAAATTAATGTGGTCCAAAATGTCTTTTTTCTTCTACTTAATCCTATTATAATCAACTAATTCCAAAACAAAGTATTTATTTATTTATTTCTGTGGGGAAAATCAATTTATTTCCTCATTTGCATTTTCCACATTGATTATTTTACAGTATCTCCTTGTGATCATTCAATATTTTAACTATTTGATAATGAATGCTTCTCCCCTACCCTACTTAAGTGATTATGAGAGATTTTGTCTCTTCTTTTTTTGAGATTAACCTCTAATAATAAAACTTAAACTAAATTTCGATTAAGAACAAAAAATTAAATAAAAAAATAAAAATAATTAAAATGAGTCAGAACAAAAATTCATCGATCACAATTTATTATTTATATCTATACAATTACATGGGTGAATTGTATTTGTATATAAGATGGTCCCAATCTAATAAAGCACTGCTTAAAAGTAAATCTAATAACAAGGGGGCCTATATATGAATGATTATGGTACAAGATTCAGCAAAATATACTTTGATAATTTTTTAATTTGGTCTTGGATGATGTCTTTTTAGCCACGCCAACCATGTGGGGTGATGCCCTCAAGGGACCCTCTCCCCCTCGAGATTTAAGACCATGTCCCGATTGAATCCTTTTGCTTGTTAGAAACTATATTAGATTTCTTTTTGGAATAAAGAAATTCAACAATGTGGCTCATCAACTTTAAGACCATTCAAGGTGGAGCCTATTTAATTGAATTTGGACCGTTGAAATAACGTGGATTTTATGCAATCTGGTTTGTTCAGGGCTAAAATAACGTTGAAATAAGTGTGGCTCATCATTAAGAAGACAAATGAAATCACAAATTTGTACAAGGATCATTATAGTAATTTGACCATTTTATTCAAGTGGGCCAAGACTCTATATGCTCCAATTTTTTATATATATAGAATAAATAATCGAATAGGTTTAATTTACTCAACATTTATATAAAAAAAATTAAAAAAAATTGAACGATTAATCTTGAATAATTAATTATGTAAATAAAAAGTTTTTTTATTCAATTTACTTTATTGGAAGACTTGCACAGAGCTGGAATCCTATAGCATACAATTTAAAGCAGAGGAGAGGGAACAAAATCATCTTTATTGGTTAATGCTGGGGGAGAAAACAGAGACATTAAGCACTATTTATGCGAAATTGACTAAAGCAAAAGTGTGGCAATTCATCAAAGTGGGGTTCCTATTAATGTAATTTTTTTACTTTTTAGTTAATTGTTATAAATATTGAACTAATTTTAAATTTATATAAATATAAGTATATTTGAATGCCAAACTCAATTTAATCGGTTATTTAATTATATTTTAAGGGCCCTAACCAAAGAGCCTTATATATATTAAAAATAATATTAAAAGTTAAATTAACATGAAATGATGAGTAATTTCACTGGTAAAGGATTTGAGTTCAAAGAGTTGTATCAACGTATTGTTAATGGTTAATAAAATTTTAAAAAAAAATAATACCTTGTAATCATTTAGACTATTAAAATATTTTTATAAGTTTTAAAGATCAAATAATTAACTATTAAATAATAATTCAATATTTGCTCCCTCAAAAAATTCAAGTTCTCATATATATATATATATATATTTTTGTATTTTCTATTGACAATATGCTTCTATCTCCTAAATTTTTTATAACTTCGTGTCTCCTAAAATCTTTTGAGTCTACTAATAACATAAAATCTCACATCTTTCCCTACAAACAACGTAAAACAAATTTAGCAGCCAATTGATTTGAAATTTAAATCCCAACATTTGATTACATGCAAATAATGTAATATTTGTCCATGACTATGATTAAGTATACATGAATCTTGAAAAGATTATGAGAAGGAATAATGGTCTACAAATAAAAATGGAAACTAGAAGATTCTATTTTCTAAGGTAAAAAAGAAGAAGATAAAGGGAATGGGTGGGTGAGGACGGTGCAGCCTTTTGCCTACCAAATTGAAAATTGGGTTGCAATTTCGTAAGGATGATTTGGTGAGATCATCTCAAACGTGTGAATTCATGAATTTTTCTTCTTCTTCTTCTTAATTCCACATTTCCACTTGTTTGCTTTGGTACCTTTTGTTAGCACCAAATTTTGTTCAGTTTAAGTAAGAGCCTATAAAAAATATAAGGCTTACTTAGAAAATAAGTGTTTAAATTATACCGCTTTTGTTAAATAGGCACCCAATTTTTTTTTCAAATTATCCAGGTGCCTAAAGTTACAAACATTACCACTTTAGGTGTCTCGACCGTAACGGCCGCTAAATTATGCCGTTAAAGGACACATGTCACGTTTTGGTATTTTTAAAATTAATTTTTTTATTATATTTAAAAAAACCGAAAATTTAAAAAAAAAAAAACTTAAAAAAAATCCCAAAACTTTGAAAACCTAAATTTCAACCTCTAAACCTATGCTACCCATCGCTCATTGTTGTCGATGAACCTCCACCCGACCAATCGACGACCCTATCTCCACTCGATGCCCGATGACCCCATGAAAAGCCACAAGAATAGGAGTCAATTGACGACCAATCGACGTGTGTACCCAAACGAACCCCGATGCTACAAATCGCAAGCTTACACGATCTCGAGGGTCAATCGACGACAAGGATGACAACGTTTGACTAGGAAGATGACAAGGATGATATAGGATAACGTCAGCGGGTTAGAGATTTAAGATTTTTAGGGATTTAGGGCTTTTTTGTAATTTAAGAAAAATTAGGGTTATTTTTTTAAGTATAATAATTTTTTATTTTAAAAAAATAAAATCCTCAAAATTACCATAATGTGACACATGTCACTTAATGGAAATTTTTAATGGACATTACGATTGAGGCACCTAAAGTGGTAACGTTTGTAACGATAGATATCTGGGTTAATCGAAAAAAGTTCGAGCACCTATTTGAGAAAAACAATATAGTTTATGCAAATATTTTCTAATTAAGCAAAAAAATATAACTCAAATCTTACTATATTCAACATTATAACCTGAAAATTCGAATTAAATTCAAAATCTTCAGTCGACAATCCGTCTTCCACCTAAATATAGTCACTCATTATCGTTAATGTTTTTATCTTAGTTCTATTCAAATTCAAAATCATCTTAAACTTAGCACTTTCATCACCTTATCTCTATCCTATAACCCCTAAATATTTGATCACACCTTCTTATATAAATCTAGGTCAAAACCTAAAAAATTTATACTTTTAGATTTTAAAATGAAGATCTCAAAACCCTAAATTAAAAAAAAAATATACAAATACACTTAAAAAACCAAACCATAAAGGAGAAATCTAAAAAAGAATATTAGAAGAAAAGAATCAAAAGAATCACAATTTATTTATAAGATCTAGATTGATAGGACTTTTTTTTTAAAATTTTAACCACCGTTGATGATAGACAACCCGCGATGTACAACAATTTTATCAAAAAAAACTTAGAATGAACAATTAAAAATTTTAATCAAATAATTAGTAATATATACAACCAAACACTATTGTTGGTGATCAAGAATAAAGACCATCAATACAAACATAATAATATAACATGAGGATACATTAACAACTGTTTTTATCACAACTCAAAGGCAACATATTCAAAGCGATTATGATAACCTAAGAACTAGTATAAAGATCCAATATAGGAGTAAATAGTTAAATAAACACCAATTTAAAAAACAACAAATTCAATTCTAAAGAAAAGTTGATTTTACCTAAAAATACCAATAAAAATCATTATTTATTGAATTAGCATTCTTTGACCGACATTT